TATCGCCAATTCGTTAACACAGAGTTCAGCCGAACTTTTTGCTCATCAGCTCCTCTTCATTGAGTTGAGTCCTAAAGTTAACCACTTTTTCCTTAAACTTCAGCAACACTTCCAGATTCTCATCCAACACTTCCTCCAACTGCTGGGCGTAAGCGTCGACGTCGTAGTCAACCTCTGAAGTCATTTGAAGCAAATCTATATGTGTTTGACTCCAACGCGGGATGTTCTGCAGACATTTAAATTCAGTTATAGTTTACAACATTTAATCATTTCTTAACAATCCATACATCGATCACATTCTTGTGGACATCAAGAATCTCTTCCTCCATCTCTTGTAAATGAGATATTGTCTCATGAAATGTATACAAATCTTCGGGCAATTCTCCGGACTATTGAGTGAAAGCAAACAAATACTCGTAAACAACAAATGATTGTAAACGTCAACAAAAGGGCTTACATTAGAGTTGTGAAGAATGGCTAAATCATCGCCGCTCGCAGACATGTCTTCATCGCCATCACTGGTCTTAAGATCTGGATTATCAGCTCCGAGCTCTTTGACGCGATCAGCATATCGTAGAGTATTTAATGAGTGTTCGCACGAAAGAACGCCGGGAGATATCATCGCTATCTGTGATACAAAAGTCACAATTAATGAGTCATTGAATGTGAAGGCAAACAGAGGTGTCATCCAAACCATGCAAGTCCTCGAGTTCTCCCCAATGAACGAATCGCGCAATACTTGAGTCAATTTACTCGCTCTGAACGGCAAATGAGCGCCTTTTCGACCCAAAGCACGGATGCACTCCTTTAGCGCCAGTAAAGACTTGTTAATCTCTGCGCCTTCCATACGAGTCTGTCGATTAGCACTTGAAGTGTCGGCTCCCCTCTCATTACCGGCCAAATCAATTAGAGAGAACTTTCCCTTCATTTTTCCCGTCTGTCTCTTCAGAATCAATTGAAAGACTGCGTGAGAACGAGACGAATGGTTGTTGGCAGACGTGACACCCGATGTCCTGATGTTGTTCCCCATTTGGATTAGTTTCAGAACGTCTTCTACACTATCAACTCGTCTTTCTATGAGGCCAACCACTTGGACCTGTTGTTTGGCGTCTTCTAATACTCTTAACTTTGCCTTTCCGTTCAACAGATCAAACACCTGTCCATCCAATCATTAAGTTAGTTATTCACATTCACTGTACAACCCGTCAAACCTTTATACATACCTTTCCACTGTATATCTCGAAAAAACTGGCGAAAACTGTTTGATCCTCTGATTTATACTTTGAAGACCGCAATAGTTTAAAGACATCCCTCGCGGCCAAAGCGTAGATGCCTTTCGCCGAGTCCTGAGACTTGCCGTGAAAGTCACCGCCCATTGTATG